ATATGTGACTACAACTGTTAAAAAATGTCATAGAGGTAACTGGAACTACTACAGAGACATAAAATGGATGGACTTATAGATAAAGTAAACTCTAAAAGATCATGTTTGGGCTCAACTAAAAACAACAAAAGTCTGTGTTCATCACTTTTAAGTTACGACAACTTCTAATAAAACTTTGTTCAACCACCACACTACATGAATCCAGTGAAATCAGCTTTTCCTCTACAATCAACGGTATGTTTGTTCTAACCATATTTGAATGCTGAACTCAAAGTGAAGAAGAATTTGGGTATTGAGTCAATTTCATTGAGTTACCTCAACTTGAATTTAGTTGTAAATCAACTAATGCAGAAATCTGAGTTGAAACAACACACATTATTGAGTTGGTAACACAGTTACAAACAGTACTATGTCAACACAACTCATCGAAATAATGTTTGCAACCTAAACTATTCATCTAAATCAGTAAGTCAGACTTTTTTATCTTGCAACCAAGTATCTTATGAAGTGATGGGAACAGGTTGCTTGAATTACCTTGTTGGGTTTACCTCAGTTTGGCACTTGAGAAAATATTACTTTCTAGGAATCTCTGTACAGAGGTGATTTGTAGATATTAGAGTCAGACTGTCTGTTGATACTTTCCTTTCACAGATTTATCAGTATCGACATTTATGTTGTCTGATATAAAAAAAAAATATTTTTTTAGAATGGATTGCAGTAAATGATGCTTCAGGCAATTTAGAATTAGTATCATCACATAAGTGACTCTGTTTTTTACAAGACTCTCAGCACATGTCTGCAGCACATGTAGCAGAGCACACTGTGGAGCGGAGTCCAGTGGTGTCTCCACAGCAAGCTGATAACTCTCACACTTACTGAAAAGTTGATTAAAAAGTTGATAAATATTTTGTATCGATTTTGGCATTGGCAAAGTTCAGGTATCAGTCAGGCTCCACTGCATGCAGCACATACAGTCTATATAGAGACTTAGGGTTGTGTAAGACGAATGAATTGTGGGATCTCACAGATGATTGAACTGTTTATTAGTGTAACATCATGTGTTATGAAGCTGTTCTTGAGTCGTCAATGTTATGTTTATGTGTTGACTTTTCCTCTCTCTCCGATAATTTCCTTTGAATGTAATCCCAGTCAGCAGTTTGCTACCTGTTGTTCAGGCCACCTAAAGCCTTTCCCACGTTAAAATAACAGCCATTACTGTCCGTTTATTTTCTCTCGGCTTGTTTTCAGAATCTGAATCATCCCACTGGGGAAACTGTGGCCCACAGGCAGCCAGAAAAACAGACAACAAAAGCCTTTCTCAGCCTGTATGCTTTAAAATTAGCAACAAAACCATAGCCAAACTTTTTATCAAGCATTCGCTAGAGTTCCCTCTGCTCTTGGCAGCACTCAAGTCTCCATAATCACCTTCATTAGAGTCCAACATGAGCCTTTTCTTCACCATAACTAAGTCATTCCTTATGACAATTTTATGCTCCCACATTCCATGCCAGCACCATGCACAAATAGAGAATAAAAGCAATGAAATGTGATGAGTGGAGCTGCAGAACACTGAAATATCATCAAGATTTCAAAACTGCACCACAGGCCTCAAGATTTCCAAATACCTGCTGTTCTGGAAAACTTCCAGAGTTCACCCAATGGAAGCTGCTTTATCACAATCTCACACAGTTGTTTTTTTCTTTTCTATCTCGGGTTACCAGCAGCAGCTTAATTCTTACCTCCAGATGTCCAACAATGCAGAAGCGCTCCGGCTCGTACAGGCCGCAGGTGGAGGAGGCGCCGAGTTTGTGCGCTCGGCCGATCAACAGGTCACCTGTGGCCGGATAACAGCTGCCCTCTGTGCAAACATCTGAAAACTCTGGCACCAGAGCCCTGACAGGACTCCACAGGGCTGCAGGGAGGAGAGCTGCTGTCAGTGACATGACAAAAAAAAACCTTCACTGCAAACACGGGAAAGCTTGGAAGTTTAAGCAGCCATTACGCATGACGCATGATCTCTTTGGTTTCAATTCAAAAAGGACAGTAGCAGAGCAGCTTGTGGCCAATTTATTTAAATCAGAATCACATGAAATCCCTCTTTAAATGAGGGTGAACTGTACAGCTGTGGGAAACTGGCACATGGAGAGTTTTATGTAGCTTTACTGCTGCAGCCTTTTGGAACAGACTCACTTCTGTTTTGTGGAAAAACTGTGAATAATAGTTTGCATATGGCTCTCATTACATGTGTTTGCTGCTGGGGAAGCATTCTGCAGGATAAAATTCCTCCCAGCGAGCCCCGAGTAGCACTTCAGCAGATATTTAGACAAACAAAATGAAAACTTCAACTCACCCAAAGTGGTCAAAATGTGTATTATGAGCGACATCTCCGAGAGCGGCGCATTGACAGCTCGTCCAAGATGTTGATGGTTCCTCCTACAGCTGAGTGTGTGAAGTGTAAAAGTCAGTGAGCCAGAGGGAGTTGTCTTGTAGAAAGTTCGCATCCCACCAACCAACTCCACCCCGCTGTCAGCAGCGCGCCACACGGAGTTGTGGAGAACAAGCGCACCCTCTGCTGGCAGGACTGGACACAGCTTTCTCATCAGACAGGTTTCTGCACAAGAATGTTGTGTTTGCTGCTTTTATTGTGTCGTTTAATGCATTTGTGTATATTTCCAGACACATCGGTTAAATTTTCAGTGGCAGAAGAAGATTTGACAGACATTTTGCTTCAGTCATTGCCAAAAATATTCAGTTGTGTAAAATTACAGTCACACTCTTAAAAAAAAAAAAAAAATCTCTTTAAGAAGCAAAAGCTCTCATGTCTCATTTCAGGATAATATGTGTTATAATATTGGATTGAAAGTCCTGGGCTTGGGCCCTAAGAGTCAACCCTAACAATTCTAAAATGAAATGATCTGCCAAAAGAAACCCAGATCTCAAGAAACCAAATATCAGTTCAAATCAGGAAACCCCCCATCTAGACTGTAATTATGTTATGAGCATCAGAATCAGTGTGCCAGGAAGCCTTGGTCTGGCAGGGAATGAACTGAAACAAAAACAAAAACAAGTATTTTTATGCACTTTAAAGCTTTTTTACAAAACAGACATATGAATTTGAATTTTGACCTAAAGCTGTGACGGTGTAATTAGACCAATCATCCTCAATGGTAGTGAAGTTTGGGGTCCACTCAGTCAGAAGGACTACACTAGATGGGACAAATATCCCATAGAACTTCTTGCAGATCCATTTTAAACATTCACAGAAAAACATCAAACCGTACCCAGCATGCAGGACCAAAAAGGACTGTTATCTGCTGACTATTGTGGTTACATTTTTATTACATGTCAAGTCAAGCCCCCAAGACTCACTGACATTTTAGACGCTACAAAACCAAGAGCAGAACTTCCCCAAACAGTCCCTTCTGTCAGCTGGTTCTGAGACTTACTGATCAGATAACAACCAACACTGATTCACCTCAGACCAGCTCTGCTCTCCAACCATTAATCAGAGCAAATAATATTATTACAGTAAGAAAATATGCTTATCTGGAACACTGGAGGATTGAAGCCAAAGTTCAGCACAAACGTCACTGTTGTCTGCTCATAAACCATGAATATAAATAGGCAGAATTTCTCTTTACTTTTAGAGACACAAAGCAGAGACGGATCCTGACCAAATACAGACTCAGTGATCACAGTCAGGACACAGAGAAAGGACGACACTCACTGTAAAATGAATGAGGTAGATACGGTGTTGCAGTTCCTCTTAAAATGCTACAGACACAATGGAAGAAGACAGAAACACTGAATAGTTGGACTTGTTAGTCCCAGAATTCACAGAACTAAATGCAAAGGAAAACACCAGAGAGGGACACACAGCACAGAACTGCACATGTGACTGTATGTCACAAGCTGAGCACACACACAAAACACACATTTAATGTTTTTTATCCTTTTTTTTTGTGTCCATTCTCTTTTGTTATCAACCTTTTCATTTTCTTATTCTGTTTAGTAGTTTTTCTTTTTAATTTAATCACCTCTTTGTTGTTGATATTATTCCAAGTCAAGTCAAAGTTACTTTATTCTCAATTCTGCTACACGTGTACACATACAGAGAACTGAAATTGAGCTTCTCTTGAACCCTCATTTTAAAGACACAGTTGAAAAAATATACATTCTCAAAAATGTTTCAGATAAACATATAATCAGCTGCAAAATGTTCAATTTAAACATACAATAGGCTAAAGAATATACAATCTAAACATATAATAGACAAATGTGCAGTAAACAGTGCAGTAGACATAGCTTATTATGCTGTAAAGTGGCTTCGTGTCAGGCAGTCCTTGTGCTGCTTGAGTCCAGTTTAGTTTTTAATGACCAGAATTTGTGTATGCAGGGGGTAAGGGGGGAAGGGAGGGCAGAGAGTTCAGAGTTTATTATTGTTATTGTTGTTAGTAGTAGTATTTACACCAACCTTGATGGTTTTGTGGTGCTGTTAATATGATATTCATGCTTAAAACCATATGGAATACAACTGAATTAAATTGCAGTTTGAGCTGCTGTTAAAAGTGGAATCATTCCATCTATTTAAAACACTGCAGAGTAGTTTAATTTAACATGTTGTTATTTAGTAGTTAATTAATATTTTGGAATAATAACCTGATTTTGCAAACTGATTAAAGCTGACACTTAAATGCATCCATATAGAAATGGTCACCAAAATATAGAAGAGTAAAACTATTAATGATAGTTTTAAACTAGATTTTCAAATATTATGAACGTTTTCAAAAAATAATGTTTTTAGTATTTACCTTCAGTAGTAGGAATAATGCTTCCTCACGATTTATATGCTTTTAACTTAATTCATAAAGAAATTGTATTTATCTTGAAGCGGAACCTTTAATGTCCTGCCGTAGCACATCGGACTTGTGTTAGAGACGGACCGGAATCAGCGTGAGGTTACAGAAGTCCGTTCTGAAGTGGTGCACCTGGTAAGTTTTCATGAGCCTCCTGTCTCCTCTCGGTGCTACATTTGGACTCTGTTCCTACGGACTCGTTGCTGTCCAGCTGCCGTCCAGCTGCTTCAGTCTTTAAACCAGAATCCTTCCAGAGAAACGATCGTTTTGAGGAGTTATTTCGTGTCTGTCCAGTGGCGGGAGACTCCTGAAGCCTCAGAGCTGCTGCCTTTAACCGGAGCTCTGACTTTGAGTCCATGCTGACAGGATTCTTCTTCTGTAATCTCACCAGAGTCCGTTCAGAAAACGGTCAGTTTGTTGCTGCTTCGTCTGTCAGGTTCACTCATCCTGTTGTAACTTCGCCATAATTCACCTTAAAACAAAAACCATCATTTACCATCAAATAGATCATTCTAGTGGAACACAGTGGGACGGCCTTCAAAATACAGCGTTTGTTCTACGAAAATGTTTTGTGAGCCTCTTACAGGGTCTTATTGTGTGTTGCCTGTTTTCATTTTTATATATATATATTTTAACCATTATAGCTTTAGTGCTGTTTTACACTCAGCTACCAGATAAACAGGTGCACACAGCTAAAGCTAACACAGTCTAACACAAAGGACCTGCCATAAATCATACTTTAATGTGTGTTTATTATTGAGAGCAGTGGTTCAGGTTAAAAACTGCTTCACTGTACTGTTGAACTGTGTTATCAAATGTGAGAGAATGTTTTGACATGTATACATTAGGGATGAATTGTTCCAAATGAGTCAATGCAGTTAGCAAATCACCAAGGAAATAAAAACCTGTAGCTATTAGTGATAGAAATATTGTAGTTTTACATTTATTACGCCCTGAATGTTAACCTGAAGCTCAAATTTCAGTCTTCGTGCCAGTCAAAAACAACAGATGGATGTTTTACTCAAATCACTCAGGCCTTGTCAATGATTCTATAAATCTGTGTCGTGCTTCATGTGTGACTGTCACACTTTGGATTGTGTAGTCTTATGTGGTAATGCTCTATCATGTGTTTTAAAACTGTTACACAGGATATGTACAGAATTACAATATTCTGTCAGGAGAAAAAATGCATTTAAAATCATTCAGACCTACTGTGAAGCCTAGTTTTAATAAACGTGATGTTAATATGTACTTTTTTTCTTTACAAAGTTTAATATCTTCATATTCCACACAGTCCTGTTCAATAATGGTGTATTTTTTATTGTCTTGTTGTGTTGTTCAGGTCAGTCTGGTTAAGTCCTCAGCTGCTGTGTTTGTCTTCACTCGGAGTTGTCTGTGGAGCACAGAAAAGATGTTGAGAAGTGCCTCAGCACAGGTGAGGATGACGCAGGGCTTACTGGATCAGATTTCTACTCTTGCTTTAGTTACTTGTCAATGTTGGATTTACAGCAGATGAAGGCAGTGTTATAATATCACACAGAAAAGACTGTTTCTATAGTCGTTTGTCCTCATAATGCTAAAAGAGTTTTGTAGCCATAAATTAAAAGACTGTGCAAGAACATATTTACCCTCATGTGTTCTTTTTAGATCACTCACCAGTTAGAAAAGTCAGTGAGAGGAGATAAAAACATTGGGGTTCAAAATTATCTTCATTGTGCCACAAGAGAGTACACATGAGCCAAGATAAAGCAAAGACGGAGCCAGAGTGTTAGTTTGCATAAAGCATATCAATAACACCATAGATTAAACACACACGGAGACTTGTAGTTCGAAAATAGGTGCATTGAAATTACGTCCTGAAGACAATAGCTTAAACTCTTCATGGACTGGATGGTCCAACATCGCATTAGCCCTTTGAAGGACCTGCCTGTTAACAAGACCAAAGGCTTGATCTGATTCCACCTTGAGACCATGCTGACTAGTCCAACAAGGCTTCCAAGGCATCATCTGATTGGAAATATTTAAAGGTGTAATTTTCCTCAGTAAATAGGTCTTTGCTGAACATTCCATGCAGGCATATGCAGGAAGGTACATATTAAAAGTTTCTGTGCCTGGTCTCTCATTCATCCACAGATCATCAGGCAGGTGGTGAGATACAGGAGCACTGATGCCAGCCTCATCCTGGAAAGATGTAAGTGAAGTTTTTATCTTCTTCAGTTGCTCCAGTTCTGGCTGGTTTTATAAGTGTCAGCTATTTCAATAGATATTCGACTGGATTTAGATCAGGACTTCAGGTCCAGCGTTTCCTTCTCATTTACATTTTGGTGCTTTTGGATCTGTGTAAGTTTTGGGTCTTTAACCCATTGGAGGAGCCACGACCTCTTGTGACCTGAGGTAGACGTTGGGCTGTATGTTTCACTTAAGTATACCTTGATAAACCTCTGATTTTCACTGTGTCCTCCACAGATTCAGAGCAGCAAAGCAGCCTAATAACACAACCTGGCCTTCTCCGTGTTTCACAGCAGACGTAGAATTCTACTCTGTCAGAACATTTTAAGCAAATTTCTGGGATTTTTCTGTTTCTCATTAGAATGTGCAGTCTTTATCCATTTGGCCCACTTACATTTAAAAAGGATTCGACTCCTTGATCACGGAGACCTGCTCTGTATTGTAAACCATTTGCTCTATTCTGTTTGGGATGAGCTGCGATAGTCTTATTTGGTAAATACTGCTCTCCTGATGTCAGACAACTCTCTTATTTTTGTTTCTTGTGTGTCCATGTTTAGTGTGATGCATATAATGATACCAAGCAGCACAGTGAGCACTCTCTACCATTTAAACCGGCTAATTGACTGATTATAACCTCATAGACTTGTGTGATATTAACTGAAAACAACAATCTACTTGAAATATCACCACAGTCTACTCATTTATCAGTACATTTCAGTTTATATTATTTGGTTTGAAAATCATTACAAATACACAACCAGAATATACTAGACTGGTGTAGACCTTTTATAGCATTTTATTGTGGGACATGTTACATTTTATGCCTAAGAGACGACATATAAAATTGATCTAACCTCACCGCCAATGCTCTTTGCTTTTCCAGCCATAAACCGCGTTCAGCTGTTGGGTCGGGTTGGTCAGGACCCGGTGATGAGACAAGTGGAAGGTCGAAACCCCGTTACCATCTTCTCATTAGCGACCAATGAGATGTGGCGCTCTGGAGAGGGAGAGATGAGCTCACCAGGTGAGATGTCTTAGTAGGAAACTGTTTTTTCATTCATTTTAAATCCTAAACTTCTCAGTTCTATTGTGTAAGATCACAGAATGTGATCTTCTCTGCTTGTTTGGCATTAGACACCATTATTTGATCCCACAAGGAGAAATTTTGCCTTCTCCCAGCTTGTCAGGAAGCTGCAGCTAGAGAGTCAGCTACACGACAGCGCCCCTGGAGCAGCCGGGGTTAAGGGCCTTGATCAGTGGCAACTTGTTGTGACTGTAGAAATAGTTCAACAGAGGTTTTATTTTAAGGCTATTTTATGCTAATCCATCAGCGGTAATTCCACAACACGTTTGTCTGGGTGAAGTTACACCATCTGCAAGTATTGATATTCCCTCTTGTTATTCTTGCCAAACGCTGGTCACATTATGCGTTTGCTGAAGGACAGTTTCTAAATGAAACAGCCTGTTTGCACTTCAAGGTTGGACAGCAGCTCATAGTTCTCTTTGGCATTTCAGTGTCGGTGATATATTACAGGGGCTGTGTGATGCTTGTGAGTGACTGAAAGGCTCATTTTCAGTGTTTTATTTGTCTTAACTCTTGTTCATCGGCTAAATACAAAAATAAAAAGGACACTGGTTTATGTGAACCTGGAAGCTGTCACAGAGCTGATTAAGTTCATGAAGAGTTGTCATTTGAAGGTGCACAGTTTTCAGATGAAAGGGGAAATAAACATC